AACCTCCAACCTCGAACCTCCAACCTCGAACCTCCAACCTCGAACCTCCAACCTCGAACCTCCAACCTTCATCCCTCCGTCCTCCGTCTCCAGGAATGAAAGCCCTAGGGCTAGGGCTACACATAAACCCCCGTGTTGCCGCACAGTTGAGCAGCGATCGATCAGAATGGCGGCATCTACCTCCCCGTCTCCGTCTCCCTCTACGCAGGCCAAGGCGGTGGTGAAGCGCGGCCCGTCTCAGTCGAACTCGAACTCGAACGCCGTGTCCCTGATGCCGCCGCCACCGTTCAAGCGCATCAAGAGACCGGCCAAAGTGCTCGACGAAGACGAATACACCAGCGCGCTCTCCGACATCATCGCCCGAGACTACTTCCCAGGCCTGCTGGAGAGCCAGGCGCAGCATGAATACCTGGCGGCACTGGAGTCGGGCGACGAGTCATGGATCGCCGAGGCGGCGCAGAAGCTGAGAAACGCAGGGGCGCCGGCGGCACACATGAGGAGGTCTAATAACAAGGGGAGCAATAACCATACCGCTAGAAATACGAGATTTGATAATTACGGAAATGGCAATGGCAACACGAGGTTCGACAACTACGGCAATGGCAACGGCAATGGCACGCCCTCGGCGACGCCGCGATGGGGCACCACTACGCCCACAAGTGGAGGGGGAGGGGTGCGTGGTGGTGTTGCAGACACGCCGGTGGGATCTTACGCGGGCAGCGACACGCCAGCAACTAGGAATGTGCACGACATTGGACGGGGACACGGCGACGCAGGCGAAGATGTCGATGGCGGTGGCGGTCTCGACACGGCGGGCCTTTCGCTGGGCGCGTTCCAGGCCAAATATACTTCCGAAGACAACGAGTCGTTCAATACGCTTCTTGACAAACAGAACTTGAAACGCCGCCAGAAGCACGCTTACTTGTGGACGCAGGACCAGCGCGTCCCGTCGGCGCGGCTGATTGCCTACAGGGAGCGCGAGGCACAGCTGTTGCTCCAACAGGGTGAACAAGGACAGGTGGAGGAGGAGGTTACTGCTTCTGGTGGCGGTGGTGGTGGTGGTGGTGTTGCCGGTTCTAGCTCTGGCTTGACCTTGACTTCGACATCGGCCACCAACCCCAACGAAAAGGCCGTCGTGCCATCCATGACCACGGGCGCGACGGACGCCCGGCCTGCGCGGCCGGACGCGTGGCTCATCAGACGGCCCGACAACAGTTTCATGTTCCCGGCGACCTCGGTCGACGAGGACACTCCGGCCCTACAGACCGTGCACGAGGTCAAGGAGCAGTTGTCGAAAGCTGGGCCGAAGCACGTCGTGCATGCCAACACGCGGTTCCCGCCCGTCCGGTATTTCGATGAGCCAGGCCCGATCCCGCCGTCACCGTCGCTGAACACGGAGATCATTGCGCGCCGCGACGCCGCTGCTAAAGGCAGGCCCGCCGCGTCGGAATCATCCGAGTTTGGGTTTGATGTTGATGCTGGAAGCGAAACCCCCCGCGTCAACGGCTACGCCTTTGTCGACGAGGACGAGCCGGAGACGGTGCACCAGCCACAGACCCAGCTGGGCCCGAGCTACCGCGACCTGCTGGCCGGACAAGTCGGCGCCGATGCGACGCCCAACCCGTTCAAGATCGGCGAGATCCGCCGGCGCGAGGAGCTGCATCTGCGCATGGTGGACAGCCAGGCCAGACGGAAGCGTCAAAGTGAGAAGGAGAGAGAGTCCGCTTCTGGCTCTGGCTCTCGAATTGGCGGCATGACTCCTGTCGCCGCTGCCGCTGGAAACATGACCCCCGCCGCCAGGAGGCTGATGGAGAAACTGGGCGCGCGCACACCCAGTTCGGCTTCCAGCTCTGGCGGTCGAGGTGGAGGTGGAGCAGCTGCTTCCAGGGACATGTGGACGCCTGTCCGGACGCCGAGGAGGAAGAAGTAGAAGAGTGAAGTAGAAGAGTAGAAGAGTAGAAGGACGACGACACGAACAACAAACAATTGAGCGAAATGCGAAATGCGAAATGCCCATTCCCGATTCAATCATAATCATAACCATGTGCATGCATACATACATATGCATATCCAGATCCACATCCATATCTATATCCATGCCCTTACTTTACTGCCCTGCCCTGACCTGCCGACGTCAACTATGTATGACTATGACTATGACTGTGAAAAGGACAACAGGCGGAACAGACTCAGACTCAGACCCAGACTCGGACTCGGACTCGGACTCGGACTCAGGGGAGAGGGGGGGAGGGGGAGAGAGAGGAGGGGGAGAGAGAGGAGAGGGAGGAGAGGCAGCAGAGGCAATGACGAACGAACACGAACGAAGTGAAATGAAATGAAATGAAATGAAATGAAATGAAATGAAATGAAATGAAATGAAATGAAATGAAATGAAATGAAATGAAATGAAATGAAATGAA